ACTACTCACCAAGGTAGAATGCAGAGCATTGTCTTTATTAGCTGTGTCATGCCAATTGAGCTAGATGTTCCCCGAGACCATGGTCCCCACAGCCCTCCGCCCAGCAATTCAGTCCCTCAGGGGTTTGGATGTGTCTATGGCCACACGTTTTTTTAATCTGAATATTTATAGAGATTTGAATAGACTTATCCATATTGTAAATTCTAAACAAAGTCAATATTTAGCTGATACATACTTGCAAAGGAATGAATAACCAACAAGTTCATGGAGGGAAGGGGAAAAGATGGAATAATTTTAAAAACTTGATTAATCCAAAAGAAGGCAAGAAGGGAGAGGGAAAAAAGAACAAAGGGACAAATAAAAATAGGGTAGATTTTCACCAAAATAAATCAATGAACTAAGTCAAAGGTGACGAACCTAGACAAAAAAAAAACAAACCAAAAAAAAAAAAAAAACTTGTGCTATTTTTATGAGGTAAACCTACAAATATATGTACTCAGAAAAACTGAGAGTAAAAGCAAGGAAAAAGATTTATTATGCAAACACTAACCAAAAGAAAGCTGGAATTAGATTTTCAGGAAAAAAATAAAGATTCCCCACCCACTGCAGTCCAGTCAATTCCGACTCATAGTGATCCCATAGGATTTCCAAGGCTGTAAATCTCTACAAAAGCAGACTACCATATCTTTCTCTTCCGGAGCGGCTGGTGGTTTCAAACTCCTGATCCTTCAGTTAGCAGTCTATTGTTTTAACTACTGTATCACCAGGGCTCCTTAAAATAAAGATTACTAGAGATAAATAATAAATGCAGGAGAGATATAACAATTCTAGGAGTTCCTGGGTGGTGCAAATGCTTAAGGACTCAACTACTAGCTGAAAGGTTGGCTGTTCAAACCCACTCAGAGGTGACTCAGAAGATAGGCCTGGTGATCTGCTTCCGAAAGGTCACAGCCTTGAAAACCTAATGAGCAGTTTGACTTTGCACACATGGGGTCACCATGAGACAGAAATGATTCAATGGCAACTAACAAAAACAACATAATAATTCTAATCTGTACACTCTCAATAACATAGTCCCAAATTTATGAAGGAACAACTTAAAAGCAATAAAAGGAAAATGCATATATAACTGTAGTTGTTTTTGTTGGGTGCTATTGAGTCAATTTTCAACTCATAGAGACCCTATGTGATGGAGTAGAATTGCTCCATAGGGTTTTCTTGGCTGTAATCTTTATGGGAGCAAATCACCAGGTCTTCTCTCCAGCGAAGGCTCTGGGTGGGTTCAAACTCCAAATCTTTTGGTTAGCAGCTGAGCGCTTAACCATTGTGCCACCAGAGCTCTCATATATAAACAGACATATATAATAGTGGGAGCTTTTTTAACACATCTTTATGTAACTGATAAAACAAATAAAAACTTCAGTAAAGATCTAGAAGATTTCAAAAAGTTGTAATAGTTGCCAAAAAAAGTATAGAAAATTTCAAGATTATAATGAAGAACAACTTAATTGACATATTTATAACATTATACCCAACAACTGCAGAATACACTTTTTCAAAGTGTACATGAAACACTTACTAAAACTGACCATATGCTGAATCATAAAGCAAGTCTCAAAAAAATCAGAGTATGCTCCTAACTACTGTAAATCATATAGAGAATATTGCCAAAATATGAGTATGTTCTCTAATGACTACCACTGCAATGAAATTAAGATAGAAATTTTTTTTTAAAATTAGAAAATTACCAAATAATTGGAACTTAAGCAATATTTCTTAATAACAAATAACAAAACCAATA